CAAACGCGACCAAGAAAAATGGTAAAGGGTTGTAGGCGGTATTGGTGATGGTGATGCCAACAGCTGAAAGTATAAGAGAAAATTAACGATAAGTAATTGGAAAAGATGTGCTTTTAAGCGTATTGTTGTTGTTATATTTTTATAGGTAAATATTTTTCAGTGTGCTAATACTCGTTTAGAATAAATTAAAGCCCCCCAAAATGAGTATGCCTCGAAGTTATAATACCCTTTATAGATGCATTATTTATGTCATAAAAAGATATACAAAATTTTTAATTTAATTTTGAATGACAGCTATTTTTTATAATGATTAGATTTTCATAATATATTCGGAGATTGCAGCGTTGCTTTCGATAATATTATATACTAAATTTCATGGACGTCTTCCATTTAAAGACTTGATATACTCCGACGTTTCCGTTTGGGTGTAACAACCGTGGTGGCAACCTTAATATGTTCAGGGTATAAAAATAACAACATCTTAATGCTATTTTGCAAGTTTCACTCATTTATGAATCTCCTTAAATGCTTTGAAAGCTTGAAGGTAATATATTGATTTCAAAACATTTCAAAATGTACATACTTATATAACAAAAGGTCAAAAAGTAAGAATACCTTCAACAAGATTGCACAAATCAAAAATAATACCACGATTTCCACGAAAGACTGATCTACAAAACCGGAATTTAATAGGATTTTAACTGTTACTAGTTGGCCAAAGGTTGTTTCGGCAATCTATTCCTCTTTGGATCGAAAAATAGTAAGAGAAATTAAGAGTAAGGGATGAGAAAAAGAGAGAGGGAGAAAGGGAATGCTAACATGTATGAGTGCTTTAGTAATTTGATTTGTACTCCTGAGCATCGGCCAGTAAAACATAAAAATAGAATAGTTTACTGTTTGTCAGAATCTAGAGGAAAGTTTACTTTTAATTTGAATTCATTTAAAAAGATCTGAAGGATGCTTCACGGAAGACTGGTTGATTTACCTGCTATTGGTGTCAATAATTTTCACCATGACTGTATATTAATATATGTATGTATGTATCAACAAATGATCATAATAAAGCAAAGTGCAAAAATGAGTTGAAAAATTCGATCTACAAAAAGAAATAAAGCCTCAGCTTTTGTTCAATCGCCAAAAATGACGAACAACCGGCAGGATGAGTTGCCAAAAGTAACAGTTGGGAAGTCGAGAATCCAGCTTTGAACAAAAACTAAAGATCAGTTTACTAAAAATAACCAAAACAACAATATAATAGCATTGGTGTGTCAGCGCCATATGGCACTTGAAAATAACATACATATACATACATATATGCATATACTGTGGAATATACATAGTATATAAGTATACATACATTTATGAAATTTTGTGGCCGTATATATGTGCCAAGTAGTAAATATAGTTAATTACATTTTCTGCTGGAAGCTTAATCTTTGTCTCGGACAGCAGCTTGACAACAGCAGACCACGCAATATACTATATACACACACAATGTATGTATATATATACATATAAAGGTAGTAAATACATAGTTATACAGGTAAATACTTATTTTGGAACGTTGCTTTAGCTCGCATTACTGGTGTTGAGCAAAGGTTCACGAAGCCCGCAGTAAGCGATCGCATTTGTGATAAATTTCGGACATTTTGTTTGAATGGTTGTGGCATGGTATGGTATACATAATGTTTACATTAAAAAGGAGTCTCTCCCAATGTACTTCTACCCAAGAATCATGACCCTAGCAACGTTCCATTTGTTGTAAATTCTACGCTACAACAATAATAAATATATACTTTGTTATCATCTGTTTTTTTTGCTTAGTCAATAATAACTATAAGTGCCTTTGATAATGTGATAAATATTTGAATTATCTAAAGTTATAAATAATTAGTGTGAAATAATGTAATGCATACAAATATTCATACCTATATGTATGTATATACATATAGACACATACATACATATTCTGGTAGTCATACATAGTTATTAAAATATACTCGCTAAGTGCTACCCAGATGGTTTTGATAACATTATTTAATCGATAAACTTATTAGTTGCACTAAACATTCCAGAGTTGGAATTAAGTAAACATAACTCAAAAATTAATATAAATCAAATAATTACATATTCACATTTTTAGTCGATAAATATAATCTAATAGTTTGAATTGGAACTTTAGATTTAAAAACAATTCTTTAAAAAAATATTATTAATATTCTTTAATAAGAGTTCTTCTAACTGTATTTTTCATATAGAAAAAAATGCAAGTAGTCTCAGAACTCAAATTGCATTTCAGAAATGTTAATATCATATTTTAACATGAAACTATTGAGAAAATTTTTAATTTCGGTATACTTCTGATGTATTTTTTAACATTATAAAATAAGTTAACTAAATAAAAAATGATCAATGGATCGACTTTCATTTCATACAAATTATAAAAAAACGTATACTAATTAAATTTTAATAAATAACCTTAAAAAATCGACAATTAAGCGAATAATTTAGCTTATACTAACTTACTATGACGATTTTGTAATTTGAATAAGCTTTAAAATTTGTTTTTTTCGCTTTAATATTATATTTGAAATATGTAATGAGATGTAAAGTATTTCTAAGTTAATAATCACTCAAAGATTCACTTAATCTGCATAAAGATTATAAACGACATATTTCTACTAATTATAATATAAACATAACCTTAAAGAGTAAATTATTTACTTCAGTTATAACTATTCAGTCATTGCACTCAAAATCCTTTATTATACATAACCTCCAAATTTTACATTAAAAATCGTAATCACCAGTAGAGGTATACATGGATTTTAGTTACAAAAAAGTATTGACATTTATAAAAAAAGGGCATTTATCAAACTTATTAGTTGTTGTTGTGTTTTAACACATACAAACAGATCCTTTGAATTCAATCGTGTTTTCGTTTTACTGTAATATAGTGAGCTGATTTAGTCTTAGAATCACTAATTCACTTAAGCATAGGTTACATTAAAAAATAACGATCTTTGTAACTAAACTTAGTACTTAGGTTAAGCGCATATTATTTATATCTCAAATTTCTGTTTAAAACAATACTCTTAACTAATAATATATTGTTGTTGTTATAGCATACACATTTTTCATATGTATCAACAAATGACCGTTCCCACGACAGTCGGGTCTACGAAAACCGGAACGGACCCGGATTTTCATCCGGCCATGGACTGTCAACTCGGCAGAATTCTGCCGTTACAACAACAACAACAACAACAACTGCCGAGTACCGATCAATAATTGCACTAATTTCCTTTCTATAGATCCGAATAAGTCAACTTGTCTGCTTAATGAGACTCATTATTCAAATATATATGTATATGGATATTTAAATAGTTATTATTGTTGTAGCACCATAAAATTGTGTCCCAAAGTTTTGCCAGCTGACAGCCCCGGGCCGGATGTAAATCTCAATCCCTTCCGTTTACATCCGGAAAATAATTGCTGTACTTATTTAGCTGAGGTGGATTGTCGTTAGCCATTTATTATTCAATTCAATCCGGATAATATAAAACATATGTATAATACATACATACACATATGTATGTACATTTAATATTCTGCACATTAAATTCCTACTTAAATTCCAGCTCTTTATATAACTCCTTTTTAATTTCTTTCACAATTTATTTGCAGGATAAAAGCATTAGTGAAAATGTTTAATACAATTTACCTGTAATGAAAGAGAAAATACTATTGTTAGAAAACATGAAAACAATAAAATGCAATTGCCGTAATTACCTCAAACATTTACTGCTTTCAAACTATGTATTCACACTAACTGGCAACAGAACAGATGTAGATATCTCAGAGCAGCTGAATTACAAAAGCATTGCACTTTTGCTGGCGGAGGGGGTGCACAAGCATTGCATGGGTGAAATTAGTGCAGCAGCCTGCATTTTGTTATTGTTTGACGCGTTTTTCTCCGCACACATTAGCAAATGCACACACACTCGCATTCATTTATACAAACACAAAGCTACACATACATATGTTTGCATGGACATACGGACGTGAATGCCAATTTGAAAAATTTTTTCATTGTACACAACGTGTACTTTACCCCCCTCTACAACGAACTAGTAGCGGGCAGGCCTATCGACCGGAGCAATAGCAGATTGCAAAGTCGATGCCGCTACATTAAGTACATACAAACAACAGCTAAATAAAACAATAAATGCTGGAAAAAACCAACGAAAATTTTTTCTTGATAATCACTTCGTACGCAATTTACCACAAAATACACTTTATTGGATTTTTCTAGCGCAAATTTCACAATTTGTCAAACAGCGCGAGTGGAGAAAATCGTCTGCAACGATCGGCCGAGCAGAGTAGCAAACTAGCAAATACTATATGTATGTATATTACCACCGACACCGTCACCGACAACGTCGCTTTGGCTATGAATCTTTCTTTGCGTTACTTTTCTGTAGCTAGCGCTTTCCTATAGATTTTACAAAAGTGTATTTTTCTTTTACTTTGTTTGTCCAGTGGTATGTGCGGAATTTGAATGGAATGTAGGCAACAGCGCCATTACAATTGAGCGGCCATCGGATGCAACCAACCAGCTGTCAACGTTGAGTTCGCTTTGTGCATGTCAGATTTGACAGTTGTCATTGTCGTTTTCCTTATTTCCATTCGTAACGAACATTTAAACCGGCTTATGTCTTTACTAAAGAACTTCATTCGGAAACGAGATCATTAGATGGCGCTAAACATAAAGTTTTACAAATGTTAGTTTACTTCGGTAAATTTTTATAATTGAAGTTATATTGTATGATTGAAGAAATTTAGTTTCGTAAATGTGTATATTAACATAGAAGCGAAATAATAATCTAAATAGTTGAAAATTTCATCTTTATTATGTACTGAAGTGAACCAATAAGCAACCCTGCGAACTAATCAGAAATTCTTGTGCACAGAGTCGCTCTGAATATTCTCCCAATCGGAATTTTAAAAACAGCAGCACAATCGACGGTGGCAGTGACAGTAAATTGTCGCTCAGTAAATAACAAAAATCATAATATACAAGTGTTCAATTCGCGAAAAGAATTTGCAAACAATTTGTAAAAGCTAATTCTAAACAGTATTATTAACACATAGCTTTTAAAGTTTTTGCGAAAATGATGTAAACATTGTATTGAATAAACACAAAATTCCGGTGCACTGAGCAGAAAAATCAATTCTAAAAGCACTAAAACACCGAAGCGCTAGTTAGCAGCAGTGGCAGCGGCATAGGCAGCAAAACATCAGCACTAACGTTAGCTTACCGTGTTAATATGTGAATTTTTGTTATTGGAATTAGCAGCGCAGTGGCTGAAGCAGCGATAGCAAAGCAAAAGAAGACATTGACACCCACGCAGTAACAGAAAATCACTTGCATGGAATTAATGATTGTCTGGTGTGTGTTGGCGTCAAACATATAATCTGGTGAAAACATTGTGAAAAAAAGGGTTTGGGTGCGTCGTGTGCGTAAATCAGTTGCAAAGTCAAATTAGTTGAGGGAAAAAATTGCAAAGTAAAGCAAGAGCAAGCAGGTGTGCCACGCGTGTAAACACATTTATAAATACGTGCTGTTTTATATGCCTTGGTCATACGCAGGTGTAAATGCAGGTGTTGGTGCAGAAGGAAAGTGTGTGAAATTCGAAAAACTCGGGCAGGTTGTTATTCATTCATACAGCCGCACACGCAGCACAAGTCGTTTAGCAGGCGGCGCAATCAACGTAGTCACAAAAACACGCGAGTCCAGTTGAGTTGGTGCATACTTTGGCGGTGTGCCAAAACCGTAGTCTTTCAAGGTCGTCGGCATTGAAGGGGGCAATAACTAAAGCAAACGTTAGCCGTATACTTGTAGTCAGCGTAAAACTACCAAAGTTATTTGTGTGGCAAGTCAACGACGTCGTAAGTTTTATTGGTTTGTGGTGACAGACGTTTATATTATAAAACTGTAGTATGGCTATTAGTTTTGAGAAACATCGCGCACAAATTGTAGCCGCTTGGAACGATGTGCTCGACGACAAAAGCAGCACTAACTGGTGAGTTTGAGCTTGTTGTTTTTGATTTTGCTTTTGCTACGGTCAAAAAAGCTTCAACTTTTCGAAAAGTGAATGAAAAATTTGAGCCAAGTAATTTGGATCAATATGTATTTCCAAACTGCCCTTTTCTTAAATGCTATAACAGTTAAATAAACCGTTAGACATTCACTTAATTTGTAATTAAATTACGGTCCAATTTAGAGTTTCAAAGCGCTTCAACGCCTTTCACTTGTCTTTTGTTAAATGTTACAGAAATATTTACTTTGTGACGAACACTTTTAATTGTTTGAATACTGTAAATATGTTTGTATTGTATTTGTGATTGCATTGATATGAGTCAAGCTATATTTTGCTATATACAGGTGCACACTTAGATATGCTACTCATTTAAAAAATATGCAAGAAAACCGGAAAGGTGTAAAAAGATGTAAACAGTCATTAATTTCAACTTGATTTTGATATTGCAACTGGTGGTTGCAATAAAACAAAAGCACTAACATGTAAAGAAGTAGTTATAATCTTAAGTTTAAATTTCATTCGTGAACTAAAGGTTGTTTTAACAGGAAATAAGTACATTTGTTTTTTTGGGTATAGATTTGTCGTAAATTCCTTACATGCTGTTTTGTACATGAATTTAACGTTTTTGTGTTATTTTAAAAGATTTTAACACTCGTTTACTTCTTTTGAAACAATATTTTAGCTTTAAACAGGACGGTTGTGCACAGTAGATGATAAAACAAAATTTGTTGTTAATTAAAGTGATTGTATGTGCATCTGTGCAATTAGAGACAACCCGTACTTTAGGCTAAAGTGTTTTTAAATTTAAATAATTCTTTACTAAAATAATTTCTTCCTATAGAAATAGATGTCACCTAGTTTCAAATAATTTTTACATATTCAAGTTGCAGCAAGTTTCCACTTCCAAACACAATATGAATCTCTTTTGCAATGTGTGAAAAAATCACTGACTAGCACTTTCTGGCAAACAGTAAAAAAAAGTGTTATTTGTGACAATGACTACTAAATGAGCCCCATGTGGCAAATTGCAACTAAGCAATAGAGTTTCGTAAAAGAGTTGTTATATATGTATGTATGCTCATATGTTTAGAAATACACTGTGCACTTGTTCATGCATATGTACCTATGTATATAACACCGTGTGTTTTATGTAACCATTCACACAAATTCATGTAGGTATACATATACATACATATGTACCTATGTACATACATATATTGTATGTGCATTTCTGCCATAATATGCCATGTGAAAGTCAGCCGAGTTTTAATTAACTCTCCTAACTGTTGAGTTGTGAATTTGAAATTTCCTATGCACATTTTTTGAGCGACTTCAATGCCTTCTGTGCCCTCAATTTTTCATTAGTAGTTACTACGCTGAGTTTCCTGTACTACATGCCTAGTGCTTCGTGTGTTAACTGCATTCGAGTTGCTGCACAAAAATTTAATTATGCCACAATTAATGTCAACTCGGTGAATGCGATTGTGTGCCTTTATGCCCTTTGAGTGGCGATTGCCTGCCAGTGTGCACTTTGCTTAGTCGTTTAAGATAATTTTATATTTTTATTTCACTGCTTTTCCATATTTACAAACACACGTTATTACATAAAAAGTATACAAACATGCGCACATACATACATATGTATATGTTAGTGTTCAATAATATGTGCAATTTGCTCTTCCGCAGGTCACTTTACGGCTATGAAGGTCAAACGAATGAACTGAAAGTGGTGGGCAGTGGCGAAGGTGGCGTGGAGGAGCTGTGCGAGGATCTGAATAGCGGCAAAATTATGTACGCTTTTGTGCGTATTGAAGATCCGAAAACGGGTTTGAAAAAGTTTCTACTCATTAATTGGCAGGTTAGTAACAAAACCGTTAAGAACACAACGAAGGAATCATCCATCTTCGCGAATAGTCTGAGCGTTAATTGTTAATACAAAAGAAGAAACCCCCTAATTTTGATTGCAACCAATCCTTCTCAAATAAAAAAGTTTCAAACAAGAAGTTTATTTTGATTGGTCAGTTTCAACAATTGGTTCGGAAATTTACAGATTTTTCGTCATCATTCTCGCAACCAAATTTACGCACTGCACAAATCATTACAGACTGGATCTTATCATCGCAGTCGATGGCATACAAATTTTAAGTTTTACATTCGGGAGTGTGTGCGCTGTTTTTTCCAAAGTATAGCGCCGCAACACAAACCTGAAGTTGCTAGTCGGTAGTACTTGTATACAAAATAGACAAAAAAGACACGGCAGTAAGGTCTAAGAGACCGGAACGGACTCGGATTTTTTTAATTGCACTTCGTACGATTATAAGATGCCTCATGCTGTCTCCCGTTTAACATTGCATATTGAAACATGCAATCCTTCGTTTAAAAAGCACAATGTACGCATTTCCAAACAGTTTCTGCTAAGATACCTTCGTTGAAATCACCCTTATAGTCTTCTGCTCAGAGCGGAACTGCCTCCTAGGGGCTTGAAGAGGTTATTCTTTAATTACGCCGACCTGAGTACGGAAGCAAATAACTTCAGACACGCACTGTACGCCATACACAGTTCAACAATTAACATATTCACAGACTCCCTCTCAGTGAATGTCGTACTTGGAGTTAAACCACCACTCTTTCCAGACGGAGAGTCGATTTCTCTCGCAAATTTTCATTTGTCCGGAAAATGAATCCGATTATGTAGACTCAACAACGGAAGTCTCGGTTGAGTTTTAATCCGTTGTCTGGAATGTTTTTTTTTATATAAGGGTAATATATTATATAAACAAATATAGTTTTTAGTTACTTTTTTTTATAAATAAATCTTTAATATTTTTGCTTTTTTATGGAAAACCAAGCGCAACAATTTTTTTTGTTTGTAATTTTATCCAAGACTTAAAATTTTTTTTACTCCCAACAAGTGAAAAAACACTCATCAAAATAATGGTAATACTTTGTAAACAACGTCGCCCGACATCGTGGCGATAAGCTTATCTTTTATAATAAATGTTTTATTATTATACCCTTTGCCATATCTTATCGAAACTTTAGGTTGGATTTATTGAGAGTAAACACTTTAATCATGTTGCTCCGTTATTTTCTTGATTAACGTATTCTTTGTTTTTGTTGCATTGCTTGCAGGGGGAGGGCGCGCCAGTACTGCGGAAGGGCACTTGTGCCAATCACATACACGATGTTGCTAAGTTGCTGTCCGGCGCACATTTAACGATAAATGCACGCAATGAAGACGATATCGATGTGGAGCGTTTGCTTAAGAAATTGAGCGCCGTTAGCTCTACGTACAGTTTCAAAGAGCCGCGCGGTGTGCAGGATGAACAGAAGACTCCGGTGGGCACAAATTATACACGCGTCATACCGACAAAGGAGCTAAATCCCAGTGTGATGCAGGACTTCTGGAAGAAGGAGGAGGAAGAGGAGAAACGGCGCTTAGCGGCCGAAAAGGAAGCGAAGCGGCAGCAGCTGCTCAAGCTTGAGCAAGAACAACGCGCACGCGAAGAGAAGGAGCATTTGGAGCGAGAGAAGAAAGTGATTAGCACGTCTAAACTGCAGCCGGCACATGTGCCGATCAAAACGTAGGTCACAGCGAAACAATATTCCTTTTTGGGTTCATAATTTTCTTTTTATGTGCATTCCAGTTCACCACAACCACTTAGTCCCGAGAAGACTGTTGCCAGTAACTTCAATGTCGGCATAACTGAAGCAGAACGCATGCGCCAACAGCGCAATCAAGAGGCGCGTGAACTCATCGGTTCGCGTGTCATTGCTGCTAAAGCGATTTTCACACAAAACACCAGTCAAGGCCAGTTGCAAACCAAGTAATCTCTCTCTCTCAAAGACCTAAAGAAAACTTTTATTTATTTACTGTATACCTTTGCTTTCACAGATTAAATACCGCGCCACCTGCCAAACCTGCGCGCACGTCTATCGCGCAACGCATTAACGCCTTCAATCAGCCACAGGCCACTGAACCGGAGCCGCGCAAACCGTCGCCTACACCCGGTAAAGTTGCACTGTCGAAATTCGAGGATGTCGGCGCCGTTAACAACACACAACAACCACAGCAATATGAGCAACAACAAACGCAGCAGCACCAAGCTGCTGTACACACCAGCACACAACGTGCGCCTTCACCGGCCACAGTCACCGTGCACACATCCACTCTAACGCCAACACAGGTGGCAATCGCTCCTGTTACGGTCGGCGCTGTAGCAGCCGCAGTAGCACCTGCATTGGCCACAAACGCACTGGAAGAGGAGCAACCTGTCAAACCAGAAATTACCGCAATTGCCAATAATGATGATGTGCCCTCGGCAGCTGACGATTATGCTGCCGAAAATGACGAGCAATATTCCACCATAAAGCGTTCGCCGCACAGCAAATCGAATTCGCTGCAATCGCCAGAGACTTCATCGTCTAATGCGACCGATACGGCTGTCTATCAGGATCAAGATGATGATGGTGAAGAGCTCGAGGAGGAGGAGGTTGTGCGCACAAAGGTGTCGGTGACGGTGCAACAGCCGCAGTCGGTGAAGAATGGTCTGAGCAGCGCTCTGGACAGAAACGATTGTAAGCGCTTGATGTTTGAGTTAATTGCTTGTGCCTAAATTTGATTACATTTACTCCCTTGCTTGCAGTGACTGATTTGGTTAACGAAGATGACTTTATTTGTCAGGAGTCACTGGGCGATGTTGGGCTGAAAGCAAGAGCTTTATACGATTATCAAGCAGGTGTGTTAATAAGCCTTTTATTTAAACTTGGAAAAGGTACAATTTGTCGACACTAAGTCAAAGTAAAACGTAAGGTAATTTCTTCCCAGCGCATGAAGGACTTAGGTGGTGAAATACCACTGGCTCTTCTTCCAAGCTACAGTATTATCAAAAGTGTAAGCTTCACTATGAAGTTCAAGTTAACCCTCAATAGTAAGGCTGAATAGAACGTTTCCGCTCTCGACCTAGTGTTCAGGCACAGTACAATCGAATGGTACACCGACGGCTCGAAAGCGTCGGAGAGAATTGGTGCAGGAGTCGCAGGATCACGCGTACCTATGGTAGTTTTCCGAGCATATTCCTAGCAGAGCTCTTTTCTATAGGTCGGTGCGTAGAGATAAATATTGAACGCAACTACTAATCTAAAATTATCTAATCTGATGCCTGGCCATCCTTAACTAAATTAACCCTTAGTGAGAACCATTTTTAGTTTAAGCCCATTTGAATGTTTTGCTTGACCAATCCGAATATTGTTGAACGCGAAAGCTGCAGAGAGGAAGGTCTCTTCTCAGGCTTTGAAAGCTTTCCCTCTATGGGACCATTTCGTTGGGATTTAGAGGCCATTGCGTATTCTTAAGTGGTCCTTGCAGACAGACAGTAAGATGTACCTTTCTGGTTTTCCTCGCTTTTTTGGCATCATGAGCCAGCTTCATGAAGAGAACCGCTCAAATGGTTGTAAAACTTCGTTATTTTATTTCTCAAATATATTATAGCCCAGTATTTGGTATTAATTTTTTCGTTTTTTTTTAACCCAACAGCCGACGAATCCGAAATTACTTTCGATCCGGGCGACATCATCACGCACATCGATCAGATCGATGAGGGCTGGTGGCAAGGGCTCGGTCCCGATGGAACTTATGGACTGTTTCCGGCAAATTATGTCGAAATTATTAACTAAATAAAAAGGGAATTAATTATATACATACAAAAAAACAATAATTGCGTAAAAAAAAACAAATTTGATGAACAAAAATTTACAGTTTTTCTTATACTTTTACAAATGCGAATAAAAACAAATGCAACAAGCGAATGAAAAAAATACTTAAAATAAATTAAAAAATAATAAAATCTCACCAAAAATTAAAACATTTAATAACAATTAAGCCACTATAATCACCATTGCCGCGCCCTAAATACAACAACAGCAACAACATTTAGCACAGCACAATTAATGAAATTTCAAGTGAAGCGGTTTAGAAACTCCTAATACTACTGAAGCAATTGAATTCTTATGCATTTTTATAGCAACATACATACAATTATATATATGTACATCTAGTATATAGTATATATTGATGAGCGCCAACTATTGACTGCAAACAAAAGCAAAAGCAAAAACAACAAAAACTTACAATTATTGAATTGAGCTGGATACCAACGGCTGCGCTGCACTGCAAACACGCACGTTTTTCCGAATCAAATTAAATAAATACTTGCATTAGTACGAAATTTTTCAAAAATAAGCAAATTTTACGCACTCACACATCCATACACACACCCATATATGGTATGTAAAATTTTTGATGCATTTTTAAACAATTTTTCTATACTACATTTAAAAAAAATAAAAGTAATAAAAATAAAAAATATAAGCCTAGAAAAAAATTCCAAAAACATAAACTATTAAAACCAAGTATGAAAATGTTAAATATAATTTGTTTGAACTGTAAGGGAAAATTACTAAAAAAAAATATTATTTAAAAAACATAAAACTATTAGTGCCAAGCTGTATAAAAACGACATACACACATACAGACAGACATTGTAAACGATTGCGTTCAGTAAACGAGATTATAATATTTAAATTTTATGTAAAATACACTATGTTACAGCGTGTGTTTACAGATTTCGTAAATTTGTTGCCTAAATGTTTAAAAGCGAGTAATGCATAAATATATAAAAACATTTCTGTTTGTTGTGTTAAGCTAGAAAGACAGTTACATTTTGTTGGTGTTGTAGATTTTCTGCTTTCTTAGTAACTTTCTAATTTATTAATCAATTCAAAATCAATGTTGTAATTAGCATGTATTTATTAAAAAAAAGTTTTCAATATTTTTAATATTTGTTTATGTTCCTTTAAAAAAGGACATAATTAAATTTTTTGTTTGAACTAAGAAAAGAAATTATTTTAAATATCAGAAGAAATAAAATATCCTTAAATACAAAATTAATTAAAATATTACTAAATGTTTTTAATTAAATTAATTTTACAAAAAAAACTTCAATCAAAGTTGAGTTATTATCTTTATATGTATATTTTTATTTTCTTAATTAAAAATGGATGATCAATTTATTAATTACATTT